GCCTCAGTAAACCTCCAGCCCCCTCGGCAGGGCAGCCAGGACAGAATTCACTGGCAAGTGCCTCAGTGGGGGATTTAAGTTCAACAGCAGAGAAAAGTCAGGTCAGCGTTTTGCACGATCAATTTTTTCAGTGGGGGTTGTGGACAAAGAAAAGGGCTACACATGAAACCTGACAAGTTCAGGGGAGGCCGGCACGGCGGGCCCCACAAACTCAGAGACTGACATCAACCACCTAGGATGATCTCAACATAAAAACCCCTAAGTAAAAGCAAGTCACGGTGGGTCATCCTGTAGGCCTGTAGCTTTCTTGACAAAGGTCCGTCTTTACCTTGAGTGAGCCTGTCTGTCATCTTTTTGCATCTAAGATACCGGACCTTTGAAATGGCAGAGTCATCTCCTCTTCCAGAGCCCTCAGGGCACAGCCTACTGCACCAGAGCACAGACCACAGAACCCCCTCACTGTTATCTTGTCCCCCGAATACCCTCCCTCTCTGTGCTGTAAATGTGATTAACTATCCTGCGCCCACCCATGTAAAAGATATGTCTCCCCATTTTACTGTTTATCCAACCCCAGAGATTTCCCTGCTTTGCTCTCTCCCGACCCCTTAACCTACCAGCCATGGATTTCATGTAACTCGCCTTACGTCTCCTCCTTTGATTCTAATGTACAAAATAACCTGCACAACTGCCGTTCTCTGGAGCATTTTCTCAATCCGTTGAGATTTTGCTTCCCGGCAGTTGTCATCATTATGGCTCAGATAAACTCATCAAAATTCCCTACAGGTTCGGATGTTTCTTATGTTGACAGGGCGGACGCGTGTCCACTCCGTGTCTTATGTGTCTGCCCAGGTGTGCAGCTGCCTCCCGTTTCTGAGTGAAGCCCAGGGGCTCACAGTGACACACACCTGGGGCAGAGCGGGTAGGAGGCTGGAGGGGGTGGGATTCCCAGTCCTTTCTGCCGGGGGCAGGGCGGTTTCTGCCAGCAGCGGTGTTGTGCAGCGCTTTTCACCCTCTCCGCAAGCTTAACACTGGCCGATACCTAGAGCGATTGGTAAAGATGAGCAAAGCTAGTACTGACCGAGCCCTTGGCGTGGTCAGACACCAATCAGCACCTGAGATCTGAGAACTCATGGAATGCCCTAAGCAAGCCCAGGGGGTGGGGGCTGTCCCCACCATCGCCCACATCCCCGTTTTCAGAGGCGGAAGCAGACAGTTGGTCATTTAAAGTGCTGCTGCAATAGCTCTTGTTTGGCGATGGTTCCTTCTGTGTTGGCGGGATAGCTCTGCATTGTTCCAGAATATGTCACTGAAACTCGTTACTCTATTCCAAGAATTCTTAAACTTTCAATGGCACGGGAGTGGGGGGGGGGCGTTGCTCCATTAGACATCAATACGGGGTCAGAGGAGCAGCAGACTGGGGGGCGGGCGGGGGGCTGCGTGTGACGAAGGGCAGGCACAACAGGAGACTCAGACCTCACTGCAGGTCCGACACCTGTGGGCTGAGCGGGGGAGGGAAGGGCTGGGTGGGCAGAGCCTCAGGCTGCGGCCAAGTTCAGACAAGGTCTCCAGCAGGCTGATTGACAGTCCCCAAACCGACATGCCCCCAGAGGAATCTTGTTTCAGGGAGGAATGGCCTGGGGATGAGTGGCCTGGCCTGGGTGCCATGGTTTGCTGAGGCCAGCAGCTGCCAGTCAGCTGTGTTCCTGCTTTCGGTTCTCTCAGAGAGATGTCCGGGTGGCAGGTGGCACATGTCCAGGATTTTCCCAGAATCTCCTCCCTTGCTCTGCATTTGCTCTCTGGGGCCCTTCAGGGTCCTGGGCTCTGACCATGCTGCAGAGGCTGGAAAGTCTTTGGGGTCCAAGAGGCACTGTTGTGTATTGGAAAGAGTTAGAGACTCTGCGCCTCAATGTCCCCAATTGGCAAAATGGAGACAATGGCAACATCTGTATCAGAGGGTGTTTAATGGCTGTGAAAGCAACACGCAGGCTCAGAAAGACCCTGGGAGGTCCCAGCCAGCCGTCCTTGGTCCGGCTGCTTTGGGGTGGGGGCTCTCAGCCTTTCTTCCTTAGGTCGCTTTTGAAATCTAAACGTGCTTTATGCTGAGTGGGAGAAGCCAAGGCCACATGTGGTATAATTGCACCGGATCACGCGGCCAGAACAGGAAGAGGAAGTGGGTTCGTGGTTTCAGGGCTGGGAGAGGGGACGGGGAGTGACCACCGGTGGGGAATGAAACGCTCTGGAACCAGAGCGTGGCAAGAGCTGCGCAGTGTGTGAAACACTAACAAGCAGGGGGTTGTACTTGAACGGGGTGAATTTTATGGTATATGAATTACATCTTTATATATATGCAGAAGGTGCCCAAAAAATGTATACACATTTTAAGAAAGGAAAAAACTATTAAAATTGTACTACTCAATATATACCGACAACAAAAGATGAATACAAGTCACGTGTGACTTCTGCAATGACAAGAGGTGCTCAAAGTGGTTCCCATCAGCGTCCAGACGCTTCTGATGACGGCGAACTACTGCTTGAGCAACGTTCACCGAAGTGTCCACTTGTGTACATTTTTTTGGCATCCTCGGTATATACCGAAATGTGCTTATCTCTCTCTTTGTTGATTTACTGACTTTAGACAAAGTCTGACTTTCTGCTGAGAACTGAGTTTCGTTCCAAAGACTCACCAAGGACCAAGGTATGGACTGGCTCCTCTTGTCCTCAATGCCCCTGGTCCTGCAGGTGGCCTCTTTGGGGACCTTGTCCCCTCTTGGTGGACTCAGGCCGAGGGCTCTCTCCACCTTACCCAGGTCACATTCGGGTGGTGGGCACTATTGGGCACCTGCTTTTGGCCTGGACACCGGGGTCTTTCCCTCTTGGGTTTTGTGGGTCACAGACACCCCCTTCCTTCCCCCATCCCATAAACCTGCTCTTCTCCAGGACGGTGCACAGCTGCCGTGCCTGCTAGAGGGAGCCCTGGGGCGCCTGCCTCCATTCTTTCATTGGTGCTGCCGGCCCCACCCCCAGCCCTCACCAGCCCACAGCGGGGGAAGGCGTCTCCGGATTCGCAGAGGCCCCTTTTCCTTCTGCCACCTGCACTCACATATGACTGCCAGATGGGAAATTAGGGGAAACGAATCAACTTTCAAGGTCACGAGCCAATATGTGGCCAGGCTGCCGGTCACTTGTGGCTGTGGCTGCATTTCTGTGTTCTGTGCATGGCAGCACTGCGTCCAGACCCACACAGAGCAAACAGGGCGAGAGCAAAGAAAGGAAGGAAATACTTGGGGGAAAAGCAGTGCATTCTTCCAGAAGCGTACGCTGCCGTGGGGTTTGCCTCTATTTCTTATATCATCGTCTTCCTGCAGAATGAGGTTGCTAACAAGAGGCACTCACTTTTACTGCCAAGGCCATGGTAAGGGTGCCAGTGAAGATCAGCACCCCTTGGCTGAGGTGGGACCCACTCCGGCATATCTTCCCTGGCAACATTGCCGAGGCAGCCTTGTGGAGGTTCCCGGGACCCAGGCACCTTAGGTTCCCAAGTGTCACCACGGTCAGGTGTAATCGGAGGCCAGAGGGCTAGCATCAGGATGTCCCTGCTGGATGGGTCCTCCTTGACAGCCCCTGAGCGCCCCGAGAGAGTGAGGGGGCGCACGTGGGGTCTGCAGGTCCCCACCTTCAGTCAGAACACTTTTCTAGGCCCCTGATCTGCATTGTTTGTTTCCTTCCACTTGTGTTTCCAGGAAAGTTTCTGTGGTTTCAATTGTATGTTGTAAGGATATCAGTATAAGGATATTTTCCACATTTTCAGATTTATCGAAGCATGGTTACTATTGTGGAAACAACCACAGTGCCTAGCAGAAGGGAAATGACGTCACGGATTCTGGAACATTCCATGATGTGTGCCACGCAGCGCTTACAGCGAGCGGAGGGAGTGCTATGCCTTCTGGTCTGGATTCCACGTAGGGAGGGAAAGCAGGTGTGGAGGGTGCAGTGCGGTGTGCCTCTCTTTCTGGGTGTGATGACAGGATGCGTCAATAAACTGTTATCTGGCTGTCCACTCTGGTCACCTCAAGAGGGTGTGCTTGGATGGGTTGGGGGCGAGATTATTAATGTTTGTATTATTTGTTAACACAAGTGGGTAAAATATTTGTGACTTAAAAATCCAAATAGAGATCACTTTGGAAGAAGTGGGGAAGGGACGGGATTTTGATGGGAAGGTGGAGGACAGTTTGGAAGCACAGAGCAGCCAGGGACACAGCGACGGGGCAGGAAGAAGGCCTGGCCACCAGGACACGGCCTTTTTCTGTCCATCCCTGCGGGCACACCTTCCTTCACACCTACTAGCCTGGTCTTCCCCATCATGGCCACACACGGGTGACGGTCCAGAGTAACTCCTGGACCCCGCCTGAACCCCACTGCTGACCCATAGGGGGCCCTCAGAGCATAAAGAGCCCCAAAGCTGACTCCTGGGGCTGCTGGTCGGTCATCTCACCCCTTAGGCACGTGCCTGGGAGACGGATCCCCAGGCCATTTCCTGTGACATGATGGACTCCTCTCCCAGCTCTCAACGTCTTCTTCCCAAGGTGGGGAGTCTAATAAAGGGGTCAGGAGCCTGGCGCCCCAGCTACACCGTCACCACCTGAACACTGCCTTCACCACTTGCCTCGGGCAGGTTGTCTGAGCCTCAGTTTCCTCATCAGCGCAGTGGGGCTTGTGGAGGCTCTCTGGCTCCGAGGATGGTGGCGAAATGAGATAACATGTGAAAAAGCGCTGGACCCTGTGCCGTCACGTGACATCTGGGGGCTGGTGTATCATGACTGTGACTCTGATTTTTCTTCCCACCTTCATCCGAACTCATTACAACACCTACCACAGAAATCGCTCCATTAAGAGCGAGAAGGAGAAAATACTCCATGTGCTCTCCCACACCCAGGCCCCATTCTCCCAGCAGGTCTGAGATCTGGAGTTGTTGAGAGCAAGAAGGAGAGAGAAATGGAATCTGAAAATAACGGTGCTTTATTTGATTTGTGTCACATTTTCATAAATGGCATCTAATTTCAGAAAACAAAGTTCAAGTCTGCAAAAAAATGCACGTACAAATCTAAGGCCATAACTGTACAGAGATATACAAAGCAGGATCGTGGTCTGTAAGGTGGGCTGGCACCCCAGGGTCTGCACTGATCTGTGTTCCCATGGAGTGAAACAGAGGGAGCAAGTGCCCAGGAGAGCCCATGTTATTTTTAAATATGTATATATGTGCATATGTATATAGGCCACGTGTATCTACAACAGTGCAAACCTCTGACAGCGTGCAAGCGACTGCATTTCCTAGGTAACATGGCTAAATCAAGGTTAAGTTATCCACCCAGCATCATAAAAACAGGGCTTACATAATTACATATTAGATATACAGACATACGCACATGTTTGCACTCTGGTTAAAAAATGTTACTTGCATTGACTCGTGCTTTGGAAGGAATACAGAGAAAAACATTAAAATAACGCTCATCAAATAAGAGGCAACGATTCACACTGGATTCGGCGAGGATCGGGCATTGCACCGATATGGCTGCAAGGGAAGAGCCGACAACGGGGAGGGCCAGTGACACAGACTGACTTAAACATAGGTGTTCTATGGAGAAAGTCATGTCTGTCCCCTCCCTACCCCAGGGATCATGACTATGAAAATGAAAACCCCTTGTGTGGGGTTGGTGGTGAATTTTAGTAGCAATTTGGATGACAGGACATTTGCTACCATTTTTAATTGGCCGAGGACTTAAAAATGAGATGCTTATGATTCAGCGCGGGTGGCCTGTGTGCCAAAGGTCATGGGAAAGAGACCCCCCCCCCCGAGGGACATAATGGAAGAATTGTAAAAAAAAATGGAAAGGTACAAAAACAAAATCGCTACCATGGCCACTGAAATGCCCTCAGAAGAACCACGTCCCCGTGGTACCGTTCAGACGGGGTGGCACTGGGACCTCCAGGAACCCGGGGAGGTGGGGCGCTCAGACTGAAACCCGTGAAGCCCCGTCTTCCTGCTTCCCTTGAGGCCTGATCCATTTTACCCAGCAGGAGAGGGCACATCAGGGCCCCCAAGGGGGGTAGTTTTGGTAGCTCCCCCCGGAAGTGGATGTGCCTGGTGCTCCAGTGAAGCCCCAGCTGGCAAACGCCGTTTTCTTGAAAGGTCCTTGTGCTGCCCGCAGGCTGTACTGGAAGGAAGGGCTGGGGTGGACAGGCCCCAGGGCAGGGGAGGTCAAGGAGCAGCCCACTTCAGGTGCTGGCAGCAAGGGCTCCGCGAGGTCTCCTTCAAGAGACACTCATCTGGGGGACTTGAGAATGGCTGCCAAGCAGGCCAGCAGGGAGGGCCCTCGTCACTTCAACGCTTGCCCGACAGGCCTCAGCATCACGCCCCAGCTCACCGTGGACCCTGCTGCACACGGTAAGAAGTGACACTCATCATGAGCGGTAGGTAACAGCGGGTGGCTTACAGGGTCCCCCAAATCAGATCTGTTAACATCAGTGAACACACAGGTGACACCATTTAACTGCACAACATCGGGGCCACGCTTCAACTCAGGCGCAAAGTAACAGGCGAAAGGCACCCACAGGGGATCAGCCCGAGCCCCTCATGTTCACTCGGTGCCGACACAGCAAGCAGGACGGTGTCATCTGCCAGGAGAAGCCTCCCACTGAATGGAATCATTTTGAGTGTTGCTGTTTTTTATCTGTGTGGCTTGGGCTCACGTGGTTCCCAAAATCTGGTTAAAACCATGAAGCCCAGTGAGAAACTCACACGTGCCTGTGGCCGAGTCCTTGACTTGGACTGCGAGGCGGTGGCCGTGGGGCGTCTCCCTGGGACTGGAGAGCCAGCTCAGCCCCCCACTGTAGTAGAACGCACAGAGCTGGCTGTGGTCCCAAATGCCCTCCAAAGGCAGAGCCCAAACCCAGCCGCAGGCCCCTCCCGTGACACAACAAGGGCACTTTTGTGCTTCTGTTCCTTTCTCTTCAGCTTCACAATCCTCACTACACCCTGAAGCTGTGTCCTGCCTGTGACAACCCCTCACCCTGCTGGAACTGGGGTATGTGGATTGTTCTCTCCTGTCGAGCCCAGGGGACTATTGAGAACAGGAAGCACCGGGTCTATAAGCCCAGAGGAGCCACCTGTATGACGCAGGTGTGTATGGGGGTTTCCCGGCGGGCCTCGGGCACACTCGAGGAGGCCACAGAATGTCTGTCGGAGGAAGATGCCACGTTGGCAGGTTCAGAGAGAACATTAAAAACAGCAAAGGCTAAACCCTTCTGTTTCCTCAAAGATGGGAGAAAGAAACAGGGAAGGGTATGCAGTAATTCTCAGAAAATCTAGCTACACCCAGCAGGAGGGTGGGGCAAGCATACCCTCTTCACGCTGTCTTCCCGCCCAGGAGGCACGGGTTTAAGTATAGGCTGAAACGAGCTTGCAAGCGTGAGAAAGAGTCAGCGATGGGGGCAGGGGTGCCCCCACTTCTTCCCAGTTTCTGGTCCCAGGGAGACCACGACTACTGTCTCAGGAGTCTCCCTGATGTGAGAAGCCAAGTGCAGTGGCCGGAAGGACCCTGATGGAGGGAGGGCCAGCGGTCGGCAGAGGTAGGGAGGTATGGTTGTGGGGGCAGGCTTGTCTCACATCTGGGGTGCATGCCACCCCTCTCTCCCTGTCACTTAGAACTGCAGGGGCCATCGGTGTTGTGACTTTGCATAGCTGTCCTCGCTGCTGTGTCCCAGGTGGGAGAGAATCCCAGTGTGATAGCCCAGCTCTAGGCACCATTGCCCGGACTGGACTCAAAGCTCAGGGACCCCGGAGCTGATGCAACTCGTCACTCCAGACCCCTTCTGGGTCCTGTTCACGTTGACTGGGAGCCAAACCTCCCAGAGGTGATGCTCTCCCTATAGCAGCTGCAGAGGCCTTGGCTGAAAAAGGGGTTTCCCGGAACCCTAAGCAATGAATGAGGGGTGTCCCTCTGCGCCCATGTCACAGAGACCACTGCAGGGCGAGGGGACTAGGAGGGAGGGCTCCGCGGGCCGCATGCATTCAGGGCCTCAGCATTTTTTAAGGTCATGGCCACCATTATTAACAAGGCAGGAGGAAGTGGGTGAGGCGTCTGGGAGAATGGAGGAAACCCACAAAACTTTTAAGACAGTTTAACATAAAACATGAACATTACCGAGAGAGAAAGGTGATTATTTACAATCGGTGTTAGACCGGAACACTAAGTAATAAACCTGAACTCTTCCTACATGCGCAGCAAATGTAGTCAAAACACAACCTCAAAATCCATTTCACTCAGCAAAAGTCAAGCCAATCATTTGGAGTTTGAAGGATTTAACAGTGAACTCAAGAAAAAGCTTTATATGAAATATTTTATTAGCAGTCTTCATTCCTTAAAAGTAACTTTATATTCATACTCTCTGCACCTCCCCCCACCCCACTGGGCTGTTTGGTTTGTTTTGTTTGTTTGTTTGGGTTTTTTTTACTTTTTGTCTCATTCTAATTTAGCTGGCGTTGGATGGAAGCCTTAGCGGGGTTTGACTATGCTTTTGCCATCTGCATGGCAGGCCTGAAGTCAGGGCGTTTTTCATTTCCTTCTCGGAGTAAAGCAAGAAAAAGGCACCACTCCACCGAGACAGGGGTCAGCTCAGCCCCCAGGCCAGCAGCCCTCAGGCCAGCTCAGTGCCCTGTGCCAGGCAGTTGAGGGGAAGAGGCACGGGCCATCCTCCCATCTCAGCGATCTGTTTGGTGACAGCAAGTCCAGAATGAATAGCAGCCATTAAGCTAGTATTGCATTTTATATCTAAAAAGTATTTTCATGTACATTTGTACAGTATGAACAGAGGCAATGTGGCAAAGCAAAAAAGTGGAGGCTTGGGGGTCAGCCTGGGGCTCGAGTTCTAGCTCCGCTCTTTTCTGGCCCTGGGACGGGGGACCTTCCTGACCCTCTCCCGGCCTCTGCGACCTGCGTCTCCAGAGTGAACAGAGCGATAGGGTCCTGCGTCCCCGCCTGCCTGCCGCACCGGAGGGCAGGCCCACGGCTGAGTCCCCTCCTCCGAGTCCCCAGTGCCTAGGACAGCACCAAGCACGTGGGGATGGTCAATCCATGCTTACTGAGTAAACAAACAGGGGAATTCGTGAGACACCCAGCGTGGTGCCCAGAACTCTCAGAAGGAATGGTGCTTAATACACTGGAACTTGACTTATTTCTCTTCTCAGCCAAACAAACCAAAGGTGATTCCTCCCTCGTGGCAGGGCCTGCCCCTGGCCGCCTGGTGATGCCTTTCTCAGGGCGGGGAATAACCTCGCCACGAGTCTGTCTCTAGGATGAGTTTTCACCTAGAAGCTTATGTGCCCTTTCCAGGCCTGAAGGTCCCTTCCCTAAGGTGACTTAATCAGATTCAGCGGCTTCCGTGTAAATGATTACACTGGTTTCCTTCCCTTCCTGGGGAGAGTGTCCCTTCACCCACAAAGGAACTTTGGGAGAATTGAATTCTCCAGCTGATATTCAGGAAGCCTAAGAGAAAGGGGGGCACGAAGTACTCTGAGTGGGGACAGAGGTGACAGGTTCCCAACATGGGGCTGACACTGTCACAGGACAGGGGCGGAGGTTTGAATCCCACGATGCCCCCTTCTCTCCTGACAAAAGTGGACTTCTCAGCCGCTTTCCCCTCTGCCAACAGCCGGACAGACCAGGCATCTCTTGATCCAAGCCTTCATCCTTCCTTCTAAATCCAGATGCTCCAACAGAGAAGAAGGCATTACATTCAGAAATCACTTAAAAGAATCAGATTTGGGGAGCTGGCCTGCTGAAATGCGAATGTATGAAAGCCACCTACCTCTCAGCCACAACTGTTTGGAAAAATAAGTCAACCAGTTGTTTGGAGGCGATCTTAGGCCCTTGGAATAAGGCGTTTTATCAACTTACCCTAAAACAAAAGACGGAGGGCAAACATCTGCAGATCTAAACAGAGCAGCCGCATCTGAGTAAATGCTAGTAAGGGTCGCTAATGAAAAACACAAGCCGGGGGCACTAGCTGATGGCTGAAGAGGGCTAGCACCCTACAGATGACAGACACACCCTCACTCAGCATGGCTTTAGGTCTTCGTAGGGGAATCGCCCTGGGTGCGGACAGTATACGCACTCCACTCCAGGTAGCAGCCTTAGAAAACAACCCTGTGTTACGCTGCATGTGGGTTTCCCTTCTAGCAGCCTGGCAGCCCTCACGTCCCCGAAGATCTGCCCTTTGGGGGACCCTCAATCAGTTCCTCATCTATTAAGGGATGAATACAATCTGTTAACAGTGGAAAATTGAAATGCAGGGAACATGAACTCCTACAGAAATGATTCCTTCTGAGGGCTTGGGAACCAGATTTTCAATCTAGAGGAATCTCACCGTTTCCTTCTGAAATTTCTGAGACCCAACACTGTGGGCTCATCGAATGAGATGAAGCTGCCTGTGGAGTGGAGGGGTCGGCCCTACTCAGTGCAGTGCTTGGCATGCTTGTCCTTAGTAGGGTCACAGAGCCACAGCTGACAGGAAGGGCTTACTGGGAGGGACAGAGGTCTTTAAATACTGGCCTCGCCTGATGTAACTGAGCATGATCAAGGCTTTCTCATTTCCCCAACTCTGTATTCCTGGGGCTGTGCCCATGCGTGATGTCTTACAGGCAAATGTGTCTGGAAATTAAATGAAGACTTTTTATAAGGGCTACGTTTGACCCTGGTTAAATAACTGAGTCTGGAAGGCAAAGCTATATTTGTGTAGGACAAGCAAACTGAAAATTACGTTTTAATATATCTTGACTATGCTTCCTAAAAAGGATCTAAGGGTGAAAGGGGGATATCTAAGCATCTGCACATCAAATCCGTGTGTAAGTAAAAGTTTAACTCCTTTTGCTCTCTGGAGTAGGAAATGAGAGGTTTGGGAGCAGGACCGCAGAATCTTAGAGCTGAAAACGGCCTTGAAGACTAACTAGTGCTACCACTTACAGAAGAAGAAACCGAGGGTCAGAGAGGCCCATGAATTTGCCTACAAAAACACCACCTTTCATTAGGAGACCCTGATTCCAGGACAGCGATGCTCTCAGCTGACCTTCTTTGGCCAGAATCACCTCCCACCCTGTAGTCACACTGTCTCTGACAGCTGACAAGCACACAGGTGCTCTATTGGGAACTCAAGGCCGTTTACCCTGCAGATACGCCCACTGTTCCTGCCCGAGAGAGATTCACTTATGTGATTACGTCACAGGCAAGAAGGGATGTCCAGTCTGCGGAGCCTACACCAACCCAACATTGAGACAGTGGTGCAGCTGAGGGCTGCAAGAGCTGGGCTGGGGAGACGGAGTCGCACACGGCTCCAAGGGCATTCAGTGTTTGATCGAGCTGCAGATGCCTCGGCTGCACTGAGTGTCTGCTGGCTTCTTGCAAAGGCCTTGGAGTCTAATGAGGCCTCAGCTTCTTCCCCTGTCGTGCAGGTAGCCTTCCACCGGCCACACCTGTAGACCTCTCAGTGTTCACACCGGGAGTGTCCCTAAGCCCGGCTTTCTCAGGTTCAGTGGAGGTAGCTGATGTGAGATATGAGGAAAGGGAAAACATTCATAAAAACTCAACAGGGTTGATCTTCTGGATTTTTCTGAGGCAAAATTAAGGTGCTCAGAGAGTTAGGAAGAAAGAAGCAATGTATTTGGCTTAAAATAAAAAGCATGGGGAAAATAAAAGACTTTGACAGAGTCGGCCAATTTCACCTTACAACTTTTTGTACAACTTTTTGAAATTTCTACACAGATTAACACATACAGTTCCAGAGGCTCTTCTCAGCTTGGAACCTGCCCTGGTTCTGACTATACGTGAGGCCAGCTCAGTGACTCAGCGAAATCCCTTATAACTCTAAACAAAGCATGTTATTTACCCTGAATAATTCTCTTTAACAAGTACTAAAAAGATACAGCTTCTTAAAATGAATGAAATTCATCAACTTTTGGTTTGGAAAATGATTTCTCCTTGGAAAAAGAGACAAACCGTAGAAAGACGAAAACTATGAAAAACAACAGTCCTCAGATGGAACCACTCCACGCTTCGCCTTTCTCCCCTAGGACGTCTCCCTGCACAGCGACCAGGGGAGGGGCTGCTCGCGTCCCCATCTGGGACCGGCGTCACCTGGTCATAAGGAAGAATTTCACCGAGGAGGCCTCTTGTCACCAGCTTTGTTGCAGTTTTAAATTCTGCCCCAGTTGTGGTATTTTTAAATTCTGCATGTAAAAAAAATCCTTTCTACATCTTCTTCCTAGTTAAAGCTAGAAAGGTAATGGAGAGAAGACCCCACCCAGGTGGGCAGGGCAGTCGAACACTTGGCACCCGCAAACCAGGTGTGGTGGCGCAGGGTTGGGTCACAGTTGTCCCTTTGTCTGCGGGCACAGGCTTGCTGCCACGATTCTACAAGTTGCTCTTGGCAACAATGTCTAATTCTCTTCTTTTCTGGCATGCAGGTGCTTTACCTCTCTGCCCGGATTTTGTACCTCAGGACAAAATAGGCGATGAGGCGCAGGGAGATGAAGAAAATGCCCAGGACAATGAAGTCCAGGTAGAGTTTGGCGTTCTCCACGTCCAGCTCTCTCAGAATGGCCTCTGACTTCTGGAAGTGGCAGGTCTCGTCGATGTCACAGTGCAGGTCCTCTCGGTCGAGGCCGTAGATGGAGAGGATGACCCCTTCGAACCCGTACCTGGGGAGGACAATGTCCCGTGTGAGGAAGGCTGTGTCCCAGGCGACCAGACGCCTTCCCCATGGTCCCTGCCCCTGTGTCTGTCTGCCGAGGGCTGAATCCGCTCACCTCCTCTGGCCTCCCAGTCATCTCCCTTCCCGAATGAACATCTTCCCTGGCTGAAAAGCTCCCTAACCTGCCAACATCTTCCCAACATAAGCACATGCGACAGCTTCACTACATTTTCTGCAGTTTCGTCTCCTCCAGACTCTCCACCAAAAAACCAAACTGAACGAATTGTAGGTGTTTGTTCAGCAGTGAAATGAATGGCAAGCCACTTTGATCACGTGCAATATTACCAACTGTTATAACGTTAGAAATAATAAGGGGTCTGATAGACTTCCAAGCCCTGTGCACCACGTTCATAAAAGATTTCTGTACCATCTACTGTTCTGCTGCAGCCCTACATGGTCAGAACAGAAGCGAGAATTCTGAGAAGAAAGACGTGGGTTTCAGGTTTCTTGGTATTGGCGTGCGCACGGGTTGCTGAAACTCTGTACGGGGGTTTTGTTCCCATTTTGTTTTCCTGAACAATACACCTGGGTCTGAACTGACATTCTAGAAAAGAAAAGCTTGTTCCTGACTTCAGATCTGTGTGTCACGTGGAACCGCTACAGCTGAGCAGAAAAGCTCTAAAGATAAGCAGGGACCACGGGGCCAAACATCCAGGCACAGAGCAAGCCATCTGATGGCCAAGCGCCCGAGTGCCAGGGTACTCTTGTCTAAAGATACTCAGATGCTTCCATCATGGCTTGTTTTCCCCTGGACTTCCTATCAGGGTTTATGACACTCAGAAATGTGTATGAGCACTGCTTGTTTTCGAGATGGGTGACGTGCCTCAAAGGTACGAATGCTGCTCCCCGCCCCCCAGGCAGCTCTCCGAAGGCCCAGAATACAGGGCCCACCTGGGCTTCTTCGGGCCTGAATCGCTGGTACTTATCTCCTCCTTGCTGTGTGTGTGTGTGTATATGTGTGGTGGTGAGGGTGGGGCACACAACACTAGGAAAAGATATTAATAAAAGGCACCAGGAATCGTGACAGCATTTAGCCGACAGCCAGGACGTGGCTTTTGTGAGCATCTGCACATTCACAGGAGTCCCCTTCCGCCTGTCATCGTGAAGTCCCCAAGTTACAGAGGCTTCCCGCCACACACACGCTACCTGACATAGGAGATGTATGAGATCCACTGCAGGTAGGTTGGGATGGTGTCAAAGCTGACGAAAAATCCTGAGAAGAGGAGGACGGGGATGGCCGTCACAGGACCCACGAAGGTTGCCACCTGGTGGGGGAGGGGAGGACACAAAGCGCTTACAGTCCCACCCTGCTTCCTCCTCAGGTGGCTCCCGGATGCCATGTCCCTGGGCAGCCACCTGGGCAGCCGGGAAAGGAGAAGCTTTCAGGAAGGGTCTTACAGGGCCAGGATGGCACAGAGACATGTCTGGTTTGGGGAGCAAGCAGCTTGTTTGAGGTTCTATGATTTGCCACAGTTCTGGCTTTGTTTTTAAGGAAAGGCCTGGCCTGAGGCTCCCTGAAGCCACAGAGGTGCAGAAGCTGCAAACGCATGTGAGTTTGGCAGGTTGGGGGGCAGGGTGGTGCCAGGTGTGTAGAAGGGGCACGCGGAGGGACTCGGAGTGGGGTAGCAATGAGGGCTCTAAGGGATGGCCCACTGGACCCCTCCTTGGCCTCCAGAACTTGGCCTCCGAACCAGCTGCGTGACCCTGACCAAATCACGTTGCCCTTTTGGGCCTCAGTGTCCCCACCTGTAAGATGGGGGTACGCTTGGGACTACACAGCTATTAGGTGGAAAGCGTGGAGAACAGCACCTGGCCTACACTAGGCGCCACGTAGGAGCACCTGTGCTGTCAATGTGCCAATCCTAGCCAGCCAGGACAACGCGAACCCTGCCCTGGGGTCGACCTGGTGAAGCCGGTCTAGAAAGTTCGGGCAGAAGCAAGCGTAGGGGAGGGCTGAGCGTCAGCCCTGGCAGAGGAGGGAGGCCCATCCTGTGGCGTTTCCTCGTCTGGTACCTGCAGGGATGTGGAGGCAGCGCCGATCAGCAGGCCCAGGGACTGTGCCACCAGCGATGTCATGGTGCCCAGCGCAGCAAACAGGACGAACCGCACGGCGTCGGACGGCTGTGACGTCATCCAGTACACGATGCTGCAGTAGGCCACTGGGAACATGATCTGGGGGCACAGGGGCCGGCATGTGTCAGGGACCCAGCTCGGGGTCTCCCGCCCGGCTTCTACAGGGTACGATGGAGAATTCCCGCCCCTCTTCAAATACGCGCCCTTCGCTTACATACCTGGAAGGGGACGTCGGCCATGGTCTTGGCCAGGTAGTACGCCTTCAGGCTGTACCAGTAATTCAGGTGTTCCCGAAGAAACACGCCCATCTCCAGGGGAACTAGGAGGCAGGGGGAGGGAGGCAGGGTCAAGCAGAGTGCCGAGTGCCCAGTCCCTGCGCGGGCTGGTGCTGTGCTCTCTGTGCCCCTGGCCTGGCCTAGCTGACGCATGGGCCTTTCAACACGTACAGCGCTCAGGTGTAGATAGAAAGAGGTGAGATGATGGACTAGCCGGGGGCGACGGGCGGCCATTTTAACAACCCGAAGAGGCATTGAGTGGAGACTATCTACATGGGAACTGAGCACTTATGATTCCCATAAGCATTTACTGCCAAACTTATTCTCTGGGAGTAACTGAAACAGTGTCATTCCTTCCCGTGGGCAAGACCTTGCCAGCTGGTCTTGGAAATTCTGGGCAGTTTAGGGGAGGAAGTGCTTATGCTGGACTTCTGCTGAAGTAACAGCTTCTCCACTGTTACCCAAAGTGACCCAGGGTGGCCTACTTTGCGAACAATCGGGAGGTGCACGGAAATCCCCTCAGAGTGGCGTCGTCCACTCCCAGCGTGGCTGTGCCAGGGCTGTCTCAATCACCGGGCGAGGGAAGCAGTAGAACTTGAGGGGACCCTGATTAGAAAACCTTTTAGAAATCTGTTTCTCATCTGCCTTCCACCATGCTTAAAAGTCTCCCATTAATGAGTCTTTCCTTTGGCTTGAACATGGTATGTATTTTCTTGTCTAACAGAAATTACAATAATGCCTACCTCTGTCAACAAAAAAAAAAGGTATTGAAAAAAAATAAAAAACATGTCACTGTGCGTTCAGAAAACACATCTCTTGGCCAAGCCATGACCTCAGTCGGGTTGGAGGGACAGATAATGAAGGAAAGGTGGGTCTGTGGTCAGCCAGGTACTCACATGTGAGCACGGTGGGCATGAGAGCTGCGAACATGAGGAACAGCATGGAGAAGAAGAGGAAGCCGGAGTTACTCAGGACCTTCTTGGCTTCGTTCCCGATCCCCAGGTAGAGCAGGCCGATGAGCAGGCCAATGCCGATGTGAGATGTGACCCGCAGGTGCGTCAGGACCTGGGGGCGGCACAGCTCTTACTCACGCGCAAGGAGTTCAGGGTCGGACAGCGACGGAACGAGGGGGCCAAGGCCTCCGGAGGCTGATACGCTTTATCCCACCCCTTCTCATCCAGAAAGGCAAGGCCTCAACCCAAAAGCAACTCAAACACACACACACACACACACACACACACACACACACCACACACTCACATACACACACACACACACGCACACACACAAACACACACCACACACTCACATACACACACACACACAAACATCACACACACACTCACACACACTCACACACTCACACACACACACAAAAACACACACACACACCACACACACTCACATACACACACACACTCCACACACTCACAAACACACACACACACACACTCACACCAGCAGCTGCATTTTATTGCTGTTAAAACAGAACTATTCCAAAACGGCAACCTTCAGAGGAAAAGACAAGTGACCATGGCGGGAGGGGAAAGGAAGGACAGGTCAAAGGCCCGCTCTCGAAGAGCTCCAGCCTGCGTTGCTACAAGCCCCTCCATCTTTCAAACTCGGTCCCAGAGGCCCACGGGACACCACCCTTCCTGGGCAGGTTGTCAGACTGTCCACGCTAAAGGGTGGACATTATCATGGTTCCAACCTCTCGCTACCTCCTCCCCAAAAAGCCTCAGCGCAACCCGCCATGCCTCCCTGAGGGAGGCACGCAATCCCTGGTGTCGCACTTGGCCCCCTGACTGACTTTGGCCAGTGGAACGTGAGCACAAGTGCCACGTTGCCGCCATGAACCAGAAGTTCTAAGGGCTGCCATTTCATTCTTTTCTCACACTTCCCCTTTGTCACGTTCTAGAAAGGACCTGTTCCTCTATGCTGGGTCCCAGGGTGAGATGCTACGAGGCAGGGCCACAACACTCGGCCACCAACACATCACGGGAGTAAGACAGGCATCTTGGCTGTCATAGCCACCCGGCATTCGGGGAGTGTTTGTTACAGCAGCGTCACAGAGTGAAAGCTGATGAGTGCAATGGAGGAACGACAATCCGAAAGTTCAGTCGGGACAAATAAAGCAGGAAATGACCGCCAGCTTCCTTTACTGCGAGAGAGGGTTGCAGTCAGCTTACCGAATCCCTCATGATAGTGAGGAAAGTCCTTTTGAAGAGGATGCAGAACTGGGTGAGGCAGCTGGCCGAGAAGCTGTGACAGCCTTCCATGGACGTGGAGTCCTGAGGACACACCCAAGAAGGGAGCGGAGGTGAGACTGCTAGCCTGCGACACGTTCCGTGCAGCCGGGCGCAATGAGCCCACGGCTGTCCCGGGGGCCGGGGGCGGGCATTACCTTTCTGAGCCCCTTTAATCGTTTTGTCTGCTTTACCTCTTCAGAGGGCCGGTGCCAAAGGAAGGGGTTCACCTCAGCATCCGCCCCTGGCTCTCTCCTGTAGTCGGAGTCACACATGCCCTCCCGGACGGCTCTCACCAGGCGGCCGCTCTGATCGCCGTACTCGCCGGATGCCACCTCCATGACTGCACGAGACACAGACGCGCGCGGTCAGCCAGGCCCCAGTGCGGGCACCCGAGGTCGCTAACGGGAACTGGGGGCCCCTTTCAATTTGCAACGACAGTCATGAGTCCAGCAAGACACTTTTTAAGTGATAGAGGAGCTGTTAGATGGAGATTGTAGGATCAAATCACTTAGCAGCCAAAGTTCTTTCGGTTCTAAAACCCCCAGCATGGCCATTTCTCATGAGCACCCCCTATTACCTAGGTGCCCACCCCGCGTTGGTTGGATGCCTGCCCTAGGCACTCAGGCCTCAGCATGGAGCTGGGAGATGAGCGAATGGAGCAGGGTCCCTGATTCGAGAGCTCGCATGTTGCACGTGGGGTCAGGCATGAGTGACGAGAGTGCTGGCAGGGCAGCAGGACCACGGAGAAAGGGGTGCCCAGGGTCCTAAGGTGTGCTTGGCACCCTGGGAACGTTGATGTCGGGAACCGTCAGCCCCAATTCTGAGCTTCCCAGAGAGCGTCTCCTGCACTGACCCTGGCTTGCTCCCAGCGTCCCTCCTTGGGCACGGGCGTCGGGCCTCCTCCGCACTCCAGAACCCCTCCAGGTCCTGCTCTGCCCGCTTCTCTCCTGGTTCCACACTCCCAGGGCGACTGCTGCTCCTTTCTGTCCACCCGCCTGCTCGCTCCCAGTCCATCTTCCCGCTCGCGCCCCTCGTCCCTCCTGGCGAACCCTCCGGCCGCTCACCTCAGCAACATTCTAGCTCATGCCTGGAGTCCTGGGCTTTCATTTCAGGCTGCACGCCCCTCTGGCAAAGGCAGCCCTCTGCTCGCCCTGGGCCTGAACCCGGAGGTCAAGCCTCCCCGATCCCATCAGAGACCAGGATATGCTGGCCCCACCGGGACATCCTCACCACCGATGCCATATGAGCCCAGCACTACCTGCTCCGCTGGTCACTCACACCCCCACCCCTCTCCAAAGGGCCGTCCTCTCCTCACGCCATCTTCAGGTGGCATTCAGGAAACAGAAGCCAGACCCTAACCCTTCTGGGACCTCCCTGAAGTCCCATGCACCCTATTTCCCTCCTGTCTGCCCTGCCCGCTACGTTCTCACCTCTTTATGGGCTTTGGACCTCACCGCCCTTCCCCTGCACGGCAGCACCTGTCCATGCCACCCTTCTCTCTTGTGAAGGAACATGCAACTCTAAAGCTGCCCGCCCACTGCCTCCTCAGCGTGCTCGAGTCCTCCCTTTAAACGGAGCCCTCCGTCTCCCTCCCCTCCCCTCCCTCCAGATCAAAGCCCACTTCTTGTAAGAGAAGCAGTCCCAGGAACAGTGGCCCAGGGAACACAATTTGGGAGCTGATGTTGCAGCAAATATGGAATCCTGGGAGTGTGTGACCAGGTGTTTGAATGAAAACCAACTGAGTGAGAAGAGCTGATGACCAAGGGGGAGGATTGGGGTGGGTAGAATAGTGTCCCCTGAAAATTCATGTGCACCTGGAACCTCAGAACTTGACCTTATTTGGAAAAGGCTCTTTGCAGGTGTAACTGGATGAAAGTATCCTAGATGTAGGATGGGCCCCGAATCCAATGACTGGTGTCCTTATAAGAAGAGTAGAGGTCACAGGTAAAAGCCACAGAGGCAGAGGTTAGAGTGATGGGGCCACAAGCCAAGGGACACTAGAACCACCCGGAGCTGGAAGAGGCAGGCAGGCGCCTCCCCGAGCCCTCAGACGGAACCTGGCCCTGCCCACACCTTGACTTCCGGCCTCCAGAACGGCAAGGGGACGCATTTCTGTTGTTTAGGCCACGCAGTCTGTGGTGCTTCGTGAGCCACCCCGGGGAGGAAGGAGGCAACAGCATGGACGGGACCCCATATACAGCGGCCGAAGGGAGAATGGGACTGGCTGGGGATGGACACACCTGGTGGCCCAGGAAATGTGAAGCTTGAGAGAAAGAGACGGCAAGTGGGACCCAAGGTCCCCCGTCTGGAGAGCGGGCTGAGGGAGCAGCAGATCATTTTTTGAAAAGGCGATTTCTCTTTAGAGACAACTTCCCTTCCACTGGGGCCTAACACAGCACAACGTTAGGGGGCGTTGTTCCTATAAACAGCTCCCCTGTTACAGTGCCCGGACGTTTTTATCTGGAGGAAAGAAAATCTTTCTTTTCTGACCTTAAAACTTCCACCACAGGAGGGCACTTGAACCATTTGTGGATAACCAAGTAATTCCTGACTTCGGGGTTCAGGCAAAAGTGGAAACCCACCAAGAATGGAAAAAAAAAGACAACCCTTGCTTTTCCTTCTGGCTGGTAAAGGCTCTACTTACCAAAATCGGCTGGGTTGTGGTAGGTTGGGCAGTTCAGACCTAAATCCCTCAAATATGGTACAAGATTGGAGACTTTTCCCCGGTACACACATTGTCCTTGGCTAAGGACATAAAGCTGGAAAAAAGCAAGGAGAGAGCAAACATCCAGCCCACCTGCCTCCGTGAAGCAACAGGCTCTTGACCCACCCATCCTTCCACCCACCTATCCTTCCACCCATTAATCCACCAATCACTCAATCCATCCAACCATTTCTCCTCTACTCCTCTCTCTCTCTCTCTCTCTCTCTCTCTCTCTCTCTCTCTCTCTCTCTCCATTACCTCATAAGGATTTTTAAAGTTCAAAGAGAAATCCATGATAAGTCAGGAAGACTAAAGATATCATATGGTCAGGAATAATTTTATTATATTTCTTTTTTTTTTCCCCCACACTAACCACCTATTAAGGAAAATTTTGGAGCCATACATGTTTCAGCCCTTGGGGTTTGTTGGTTTGTTGGTTTGTTTTTCTGCTCATAATATTAAAACCTAAAATTTATAAACCATATTATACAAATAAAGTAACCTGCCATTTAATTCAGTAAAACTGGCGTTCCCTCATTGTAACAGGAGGAAACGAAGCCTCAGCAATGTCAGGGGCTCACACATGACCCTGTGGCCACATGTCGGCCCCAGAGAGGGGACACTGGCAGCTTTTCCTACCCCCTCCTGCCCCCGCCCACCCTGCCACCTGAGCGGCTTATGGCGCCAAAGTCTTATGAAACGTAACACTGAAGGCCTCCCAGCAATGAAGACACCCCCATGAGCTAACAGGATGCCGAGTCCCCGGGAGGCAGCTTCCCCCGGGCGGACCCCCCAGGGCCTGTGTACCTGGTCGAACAGCTCGAAGAGCTTGGCGCTGGGCTGGTGGATGGTGCAGATGATGGACCGTCCGCCTTGGGCCAGGCCTTTCATCAGGGAGACCACCTGGAAGCAGGAGGCGCTGTCCAGGCCGCTGCAAGTCAAGGGGCACCATGAGACGCCTGTGGGACCCCTACACCATGCCCGCGTTCAAAGCGACTGGGTAGGTCTGTGTGCGGGCCTGAGCCCATGGGGGTCTCCCAGACTCAGACGGGAGAGGGGGCAAGTCAGGCCTCTGCTCTGTGACCCCGGAACAGAAGGAGAAAGAGACAGGGCGGGCAGGGCACGCGCCTCCCCCTCCTGGGGCTACAGTGGGGGCCGGGTAAAACTGCTGGCAGGGGGCACGGGGCTCGCCCCTCGGCTGCTCCCGAATACCTGGTGGGCTCGTCAAAGAACATGACCGGAGGGTTGTTCACCAGCTCCAGCGCGATGGCCAGGCGCTTGCGCTGGCCGCCCGAGAGGCTTCCGGTCCGTGTGTTGGCGCAAGCCAGCAAGCCCAGAGCCGTCAGGATCTCCTTGACCTGGGGAGAGTGGCAAAGCCAGGCTGTCAGGGACCTCCCGCCACACCTTGCCACTGACAGGGCTCACCTGAAAACCTGTCACCTCCCCAACCCAGCTCCCAGACACACAGAGACGGATGTACAAGTCAGCGCCACCCCAGGCCGCCTGTTTTCAAGTCCAAGGTCCTGATTTGGGCTCTGGAGGCTGAGAAGCACGCGGGACCTCCTGGGGGGACTCCTGGTCCTGCTTCAGCTGGTGACCTTCGCTTAGAATCCTCACTCAGGGCCCAGGTCAGGGAAGGTGTTCAATAAGCGTTTGAAGAATGGGTGGGGCGGTGGACCCAGAGACGAACGGATGATACAGGTTTCTGACCAGCACAAAGGGACAGCCACCGTGACCGTTAAATGAGACAATGAATCAAAGTGCTTGGCACATGGAAGCATTTAAATGACGGCAGCTGTTAATGAGACTATTACTAGTGACGCAGCTCCTGTAGACACATAACCACACAGGCCAGGCCTCTCGGAAAGAAGGAACGGGGCCCCTTTGCCGCTTGTCAATAGGAAAACAAGGTCTCTGAAGGGGCAGCGCGGCGATGAAAGTGCTGAAGCAGCCAGTCCCTTCCACAGCGGCTCGCCGATGCCCGGCTGGGATGCAGACTGGCCGCTGAGGTCTGAACAGCCCACTGTGCGCTGAGCCCCCCCTATCTGCTCCTGATCGTCGATTGTATTGACGCCGGGGACAGGTCAGCAGACTTCAGGGCAGACTGTGGCGCCAGCTTCAGCTGAAGCGTTAAGGGTCCAGCCCAGCGTCTTCTCAGCCGTCAGCCTCGCTGCCTCCACGCCAGGCTCGCCTCCCGGGACTCTGGCCAGAATTCACCTGGCCATCAACCTGGTCCCTGGTGGCCCCTGGGCCAGTATGGGTGGACCCAGCCCAGCGGCTTCTCTGGGCAGATGAGGTCACCCACAAGGAGAAAGAACTCACAAGAAGGAAACTTTCCATTCTGGCTCTTGAATTACTAAAGCATGGTCAGGAAAAAAATGCGGCTTTGGTGACAGGAAGAGCCAGGAACTGCTGGCTCCATGGGCCAGCAAGCTGGTGGTCCGACAGGCCTGCGTGTGAATCCCACTCGGCCTCTCCCTTCCCGATCCCTAAACCCCGCCCCACTGCCTCTTCTAGAAAGGCGGTGTCTTTGAGGGACACCAACCCAGGAACAAGGTCAGTGAGGTCACCCAGCAAGGCCACCGAGGTGCGGTAGGTGAGGAGGGCGCTTCCTGGCAGACTTCCTCTCCTGTGCAGATGGGTATCTGTTGGCTTTCCCAGAACAATGAGGCTGGCGAGGCCTTCTGGAACCGCAGGCCAAAGTGACAGGATGCAGAGTCACGTTGGTCATGCCAGGCCTGCTTGGGGGCCACCCACAAACATGGCACGGGCCCTTTGCCTGTCTGCCTCTTGTGGCCTCGCGTCCGCTCGCCCCACCGGCCCTCAGCTCCCACAGAGAGGACGCTGGAAGTGGACAGAGGCCAAAGGGCAGTGTCTTCCCTTTTCCTGCCCCGTCAAGCCGGGGCGTTGTCTCCAGCGTTGTCTCAAGAGTGACGCTCTGCAGGCTGGTTTTGTTAGAAAACTCTTCAGAGAGAACAATGTCTGGCCCTGGAGATGTTGCTCCGGAGGAAGCCCCCTCGCTGGGGGCTCTGGGGAAGAGGCTGCTTTTCTGGGAAACAAAGAAGGCCTGACAGCACATTCCTCTCGGCCAGGACATTCCATTCTATTGTGTTGCCAGGCAGGGAGTTACAGGGAAATGAGTCAAGGCATGCGATGGGCTGTCTCACCCTTGAAATAATCACGCAATCCTGCTGATGGGTTCTTGGGGGAGGTGGGACCCACACATGGCTGAGGGCCGGGAGGATGGGTGGGCCGGCCCAGGCTGGGGGCTTCCCACGAGAGTGTGTGCAGGACCGAAGAACACCTGTCAGCCCTGCAGGGGTGGCTCGCTGCCTTCTACGATCTGGCAGCCGTCGGATCTGAAGAGAGGCTCAAGGCTCTCATCCCCTCGGATGATTCAGCCATACACTCCAGGGAGGACCCTGACTGGAGGTAAACCCAGCTGAGAACAGCACGAGGCTGGTCTGTGTCTCACAGGCCAGGCATGTGGAGGACAAGCCCTCACAGGAGACACCTCCAATCCCTATCAAGAAGGCCATCTCGTGCCTGTCACTTCTGCTTGCAGGCAGGGCAGGTTACCATGGCCCTCCATCGAGACCCTGACCAGCTATCCTGCGTGGGCTGGGAGCTGCCCCTGAAGGGCGTGATGTAACAGACACGGTGCAGGAGACAAAGGCGGTTGCTGGCTGTGCTCCAGCTGAGAGGCGCACACTTGTCCTCCCAGCCCTTCAGCAGAGCTGTGTTCCCATCCCCTCCTCCCTGGCAAGGCTGGGCCGTACAGGCCACGTTGCCGGGAAATCCTGAGCGGCCCTCACTCATGGATCACGCCTGTTCTGTGCAGATCAGAGACAGTGAAGATATAATCAAATTCAGCGTCACGGTGCTCTGAAGGCAGGTGGGGCTGGCCTTCCACGGTTGTTACAGAGGGAGGAAGGCGAGAGTGCCGGAGGCAGGGGCCTGAGGTTATTCAGTGTTCTTGGGAGGCCAGGGCTGACGGGGGTCTCCTGGTGGGCTTGGTCCCCCTTCACTCCAGGGCCCTCTCCGTGTGAGCAAGCCCCTCCGACCTCCCTCGTCCACTCACGCCCTGCACTGCACGATTCCTGAGTGTAAACAGAAACGGGTTGCCCTCTTCTCCCTCCCGCTGTGTCTGCGTCCCCACAGTGAGTCTAAGGTGCCTGTTCTGAAAAGAGTAGAGGTCCTAGGGACCCTCTGCTGTCAGCCTACGCCGCCAAGTCACACAGCCCAGCCCTCCCCCTTCAGAAAGGGACAGAAACACGCGTGCTTCGCACTGCTCTGCTTTTGGGTTCCATTTTATCCATTTCGGTCTCAGGACAGAAGAGCTCCACGTGAACCGGCGGCAACACGGTCGCGGCCACACGATCCGCTCGTCGCAGAAACCAGGCTCTCCCGCCTACGTTGTGTTGTTAACCCTCCCCTCCCCCAGTTCACGAGCGGACCTAAAGAGTTGTGGGGTGTGCGCTGGGGCGAGGTGCAGAGGAGCCCAAAGAAGCCAGCATTTCTTTTCATGCCAAGGTGTTTACGTTTATGTAACAGTGACTAACGTGGGACAGGAGAGGGAGCAAACGTAAGTAGGATCGCTAGTGATATTTCCTTAGCACGTTTAACTGGATTCTGTCAGTCATTCCATTTTTCATCAAAACAGGGAGGGCCGCCTCGCCCCATTGGCGCTAACCCCGCAGACCCTGCCCATCCCGCTGCGGGGCTGTGGCCCTCCACGGGCCTTAGGAAACAAGGTAGTAGTACATGAGTGCAGCGTCACCAAATTCTATTCTCGCGTGAACATCTCACGAGCACTCGTGGTGGAGGGCAGGGAAGCTGGGTTTCTGTCAGTGTGTAAATATGGGCCCGTCCTCCCTGCGCTGAGCAGGGTTCTCTGTGCTCCCTGCTCCCTGGGATTTCAGGGAAGCAAAAAAAGTGATGACAGGGAGCAGGAGGCCTCAGTCACCCTAGAAACATGTTTATTTTACCCCTTCAAAAACCTGGTTAATAACACATGAGAACCAAATCTCTCCTTGCAAGTGTGTGGGTGGAGGCTGGTTATTTTTAAATGAGTGACTAACCCTCTTCCTTGTCAGAGTTTTATAGAAAACAATTGTGCGTGTAGCGTATTAAACACTAAAAACGGGCAGCGCTGGGGCCGACCCGAAGCTGCCAGGCCGGTGCCTGCTGCATCCTTGCTGCACTAGCGTGGCAGCACCTAGACGTGAACATCAGGCCCGTGCTCTTGCTGCAAAGTGGTCACTCCTGGGCCTGGCTGCCAGGCTGCGGCGCACACAGATGTCACTGTCACACACAGAGAAGGCTAGGGGCAAACCAACAAAGCCAGCACCCCCAAAGTCCCTCCTACGTGTCTGTCAAATGGTGTCATGGACCTTCTGGACACCCTGTGGCCCCAAAGCTCACACTTACCATCTCCCTTCTGCCTTCATCCTTCTCCTGGAGCTTTAGGTGTGCGGATACCTGCAGGGGACAAGGACAACGGTGTGCAGTTAGAACGCTGTTCTGGCCACTGGCAGGGCAAACCTCACACACCGCACAGCCGGCCACGAGCCCCAGCGGCCAGAGCAACACCCTCAGAGGTCTTGGCCTCCCACTGCCCTTGGCCCAGGGAAAGCGGGGCCTAGGGGTGCAGTGCGTGTCCAGGACTCTTCCTGTTCTCTCAGTGGAATTCGCTGCTGTGCCCACGAGAGGAATAAGATGCGGGCGACCGAGAGAGAAGGAAACCCAGGCACCAGGGGCTTGAAGACCAGCAGTGTGTCTTCAGGAACTTCACAAGCCACCTGTTTAACCAGCGCTAGCTTAAAACTATGCAGTACTCATCACGGTGTGCTTGAGCCTCTACACCACAGGAATTGGCCAGCGCTGCCCATCAGGATTCCGGGCTTGTGGTTGTTTTGGTGGAGATCCTGTTTGCCAGCACACCCTCGGGCCCCTGACCCTGCTTGGTAAGACCCTGCGCAGCCACCGTCATGCCCAGGGTCTGCCTGGGTTCTGCTCTGCAGACTTCTGTGGCTGTGGGAGACGAGGAGCCTCCGTGTCCTCATGGGCACGTTGGTGAGGTTAGAACCTCCCCCCAGGGAGCTGGTGACGTTGCCGTGAGAATCAGCGAGAGACTGAGGTGCAGGTGAGAGTCAGGAAGAGGCCGCGGTCCCAGTCAGACAGGGCCAGGCCTGGGTCGGCTCAGCCAGGCCAGCTGCTTGCCCTGTGACACCACGTGTCACTTCTCGGTGGGCCTGCTGGTCATAAGGGTCAGAAGCAGCACGTGAAAATGTGCTACCTGCAGCGGGTAGCCAATGTCACCCCTGCGTGTGTGACAAGACCTGGAAGGGTGAAAGGTACCACAGCCTCAAGGTCAAATGATTCTTCAAAGGCACTGTGAAATTCTCAAAATCAAAGTCTCGTTTAATAGACTTCTGAAAACAAATGGATTTCACAGCAGAGCCTGGTGACAGGTTAGGGGGAGGAGGGAGGTGACAACAGAAGTCACCAATCTTGTCTGCAAAAGAAAGCAGAGATCGAGCCAGAAATCAAAGGGATTTTTCTGAAACAAGTAACCAAGTGCTTAATTTAGTAACTCACAAAGGAGCTAAGCTCTGCTCACCGGAGATGAGAACTAGCATTCGAGGAGTCAGTGGGGTGTTGACTAAGCTTACTGCTCTGTTTGTGAGCTCCTCTAAGTGCCCTGTGCCCCCAGCAAGAGGCCCGTTTGGAGGCTGGGTAAACAATCAGGGCACTGCCTTCTCCAGAGGCCAGCCTGGAGGAGAGGGCTCCCCTGACTCATGGGACACTCGGTACCAGGGACGATGACAGAACAGCCCCGCCGGGGCCTCTCTTTTCGCTTCTCCACAAAGCAGGTGAGGGAGCAGATCATGTATCTGACACCCTACTCTGCTTCCATTTGCTAAGATTCCCTGGGAATTTCCCTTGGGACAAAAGGCTGGGCAGTTGCCACCCAGATGCCACAGGGAGGAAGCTTTGTCTAGTCCCAGGCGGGAGTGCTGGGCAAGACCTCTCCAGGCTGGAGAACCAAGGCGGCCACCCAGCCACTGACCAGGGTGCGAGGCCGAGAAGGTCCAGTCACGTGCCAGGAGTGGCCGGGAGGCCTGTCTCTTGCAGGGGACAAGGAGAAAGCACGGAGCAGTCCCACCACAAACCATGCCGTGCTGAGCAACAGGGCAGTCAGAGGCCCTCTCACCTCCTCTCCATGGGAGGCTTTCTAGCAGTTCCCACTGCCCACGACTGGGTCAGTGTGGGCTGGGCCTTTTCAAAAACTGGCCCAGGAAGTCCAGGTCACAGCGCTTGGCTGTTCAAAGAGCACGGTGATCAGGCCGCTCCGGTCCCCACTGTACAGGACGCCCTGGGCAACGTGCTTGACTCGGAGGCTGCCTTTCTCACGTGCTTTCGAGGGTTACGTGTTTGATGACTGTGTTGGGCTATGTGAGTGCAGGGCCCGGGACCCAGTAGTTGAGTGGCAAACACTGCTTTCATTCCCCCTCCCGGCAAGCAGGCCAGTCAGAGGCAGACGAGATCCTCGGGGCCCTAACCTTGTCACCAGGTTGACTGGAATTTGGGCCCAAAGCCACAAATGACTAGAGGATGGCTGATGGGAAGGACAGACCCTGGGCCCGTGCAGGGGAGGACTGTGGTCACCCTGGAAGTGGTCACTGACATCAGTCGGGCCAGTAACCTTCTCGGAAACTTGACCTTGATTTTGCCATCCAGGGTCTACGAGAACCTAGGGTCTTGGGGTTTGCTTTCCACGAAGCTGTCCAAACAGCATGCCTGGTGTCAGAACTCTAATGGAGTAGGGGTGCTGACAGATGCAGGCAGCCCAGCAGAGCCCCCTACGATGCTGGGTGCTGGGCACTGGGCGCTGCTCCCTCTGCTGGAGGAGAGGGGCGGGGGGCACAGTGGGCGGGGTGCTCACCATCATGGCCTCCTGCACGGTGAGGTGGGGCAGCAGCATGTCGTCCTGCATGATGTAACAGGACACCTTCCGGAAGCAGCGCAGGTCGCGGGGCACGCCGTTGATGAGGACGGAGCCCTTCATGCCCGTCTCCCTGCTCGGCCAGGAGAGGACACGTCAGCCCAGCCCCCGCTCTCCCCCCTCCTCCAGGCCCAGGGAGGGGTGAGAGAGCAGCAGCCTCCCTGCCAGACCTTTTGCCATAGAGACACCGAGGGGCAGGAAGAGGTGACCAGGGGCAGCCGCAGCCCTCGCAGGAGGAAGCGCGCAGAGAAAATGCCCAGCATGGACAGGGGAAGGTGGGGGGGCCTCTTTGGGATGGCATGTCTGTAACAAGTGCCCCTAAACACACCGACAAAGACATGCATAGATGGTCCTACTCGCAGCCAGGAGGTCAGATTACATCCCTGGCTTTTCGGGGGTGGGGGGGGGTTCTAAGATTGGCTTCTGAGTGACCCTGTGTGTAGTCGAGGCTACACCAACTGCGCCAAAGGCCAAGATTCTGCAGTCTGGGGTGTGGCCGCATCATCAGAACCAGTTCCCAAGGGCCCGGCTCGGATGCTGACCGGGAGGGAGCACAGCGAGGACGCTGGGCTCATGTGGCTCAGAGAGCAGGGCCTGGGCCCGGGACCCATTCGGCCAAGCACATGGTCCTTCTCTGTGACCACAGGGGGCAGGTAGGGGCATGCCCTGTGTGCTGTGGAAACGGAAGAGGCCCGGCCCCGCCAGCCACACTCCCTCCCTCCCTCAGCCCCAGGCCCACGTGCCTCCCTACTGGCCTCTGCTCTTCTGGGGCCTCAGCTCAGCCCCCGGAGGGGAGGCGCTGGGAGCCACCGCCATCCCACCCCGTGACCTCCCTCCCCTGAGCTCGGAGCGGGGTCTCCGCCGTCATGTGGCGGCGAGCAGGTGCTGCCTTTTGACTTTCCAATGTCATTCTCGTCAGATTGCAGGGCCCCTAATCCTTCACTGCAGCCTGCACAGAACCTTAAGAAGTGACAGGACGGACTGAAGTGGCTTCACTGTTTGTGTTGCTGCCACATGCAACATATGGCTGATGGCGGGGTGAGGGACAGTGGGGTGAGGGACGGCGGGGTGAGGGACAGTGGGGTGAGGGACAGCGGGGTGAGGGACGGCGGGGTGAGGGACGGGCAGGGTGAGGGACGGCGGGGTGAGGGCCTCGCTGTCCTGGGCAGGGCGTGCTCACCTGTATCCAGCCAGAATGTTCATGAGCGTGGACTTTCCGGCCCCGGAAGGGCCCATGATGGCCACCAGCTCCCCACTGTTGAATTTCCCAGAAATCCCTTTCAGAAGGGTCTTGTACCCTGTAAGAAGCAGATCACATTCACCCTCCAGCTATCACAGGACTCACTGGCTTTACCCCGGTGCTGTCCAGGCAAACCGTACATTTGACCACAGAACCCGGGCCCAAGGCAAGATTTTTCACACCACAGTATAAAATGCTGGTTTCTGGACAAGAAAGTGGACCTTGTGTCTTTTTTATACCTCTGTGTGCTTCTTCAGTTGCATTTTATGGGTGATGTTCGTGACAATTACCAGTAGGTGTATAATGCTTTATTTAGGTTGGATATACAGCGCTTTCATATACATATATAGGGAACCAGGAGTCCACCAGTCTCCTTTCGGGATGAGCAGGCTGGTGTCCCGTGGCCCCAGGTGACTTGTCCAGGCCCCCAGAGCCGGTGGGAACGGATCCAAACCCCGGGCTACACCACTGGCCACACTGCTTCTGTCCCCGTGATGGTGGGCACATGCCTTTGTAAATTAAATGCTTAATTTAATATTTCATTTATGAATTTTTATTTATAATTAATAAGAATATAAATTATTCATATAGAATTTATTCATAAATCATTACCCTATAATCAGCTAGTTGGTATATTAACTAATTGATAATTAAACTTTATCATTTTGCAGCCACATCAAATGGCTTTGGAATTTCTGCCAAGTCTCCATCCAAGAGTTGTGCAAACGGACAAAAAAACTACACATCCCAAACACAGCCACATTAATTGTTTTTCAAGTAGGCTGTTCGAATGTGCTATAAAGAATAAAACAGAAGCAGCTGGGTTCGCGGATAAAGACTCCTGACTCAGAAACATTTCTCAGGTCCTGAGAAACATTCCCAGATGTCCCCTTAAATGATCAGAGCCATGCAAATGCAACATTCCAGCTCCCACACGATGTTTAGGGGGCCTGATAAGAAAGGGGCACCCCACCAGATCCCACTCTCCCCAGTCACTGGCTGCACGCTCCCTGCACCCTTAAACTCCTGTTTGTTTGAGCCCTGGCCAGGGTCTGGGGAGTTCCCGTCTTTCACAAATGAGACACCTGAACCCCCAACCTGTCACCAGTGCCACCTCGAGTTAGCTGTAGAGTCCCCAAGGCCTCGTTTAATCGGCACAGAGAAGCTGAAGCAGAGGCAGGAAACTTGTGGTCTGGCTCATTACGGAGAGTGACAGTCCCCAGTGACAGTCCCCTGGGGACGGCTGAGATAGACTTCCGGTGGGAAATGGGGGGGGGGCAGAGGGAGGGCAGAGAGAGGGAGGGTGTCTAGAAGAGCAGCTCAGAGCTGCAAATGTGAGCCAGACTGCCACCACTGGGGTGTGGATGATGACAGGTCGGCAAACACAGGTGCATGAGAGTTAAAGGAGAACCGTGTGGGGGAGTCGGGGGGGGGGCCTCCAAGGACTGCGTCTGTCCCTGGGTGCTCAGACAGATGGAAGAGCTGGGGGACAGCAGAGACCCCTCCTCTGATAGGTCAAGCTCTCAGCACAGCAGGCTCTTAATCAGGATGGAGCTCTGTGGGGCCAGGGACTCTGGGACCTGCCAGAGGGGACCTGCATGACATCACCGAGGGAGCTCTAAATGCCAGACATCTGCTCATTACCAGCCTCTTGTGGGTTCAGGTCCAGAGCAGGGTTACTCCGGAGCAAACCCTCCTATAACCTGTTCCTGCTCAAAGTTCGGACTGATCTGCCGCTGGTCCCCCGTAAATCAGGAGCTGCCTGAGGGTGAAAACGCATTGCCAGGATGACCACTGGCCATTGGGAGGCCAAGTGCAGTCTGCACAGGGGTCATGACAGCCTGAGGGCAGCCTTGCTCCTGGGGTTCTGAGAGGCCCTTGCCTCCAGGCAGAGCCATGGGCACTGCTCTCACTCTGACGTGTAGGGCTGGCCCCTGGGGTGGAGGGCCACACTGGGTTGCAGATAATAATACCGGCTGCAGAAGCTCACACGGGCTGTGATGCCCACGACCAGGACGCCAGGAACAGACACGCGCGTGGGAGCTGTGGGAGCATCCAGCCTTTTCATGGGAAAAGGCGGGTGGGGAGGGTACAGACCACGGTCCCCTTCCGCAGGGCCCAGGCTGGAACTGTGGGTCTGACCATGAGCCCCGGTGCTAAACCGACACTCCACTGAGTCGAGTGAGTTACGCTGCCTCACAAGGCTGACAACTCACACCTCAGGGAGGGTGCTGGCTCCCAGGGTAACGTGTTAGGACAAAGAGTGCCTGTGACACGCTGCAGGGCTGCTCGGGAAGGGTCCTCACCTGTGGGACCCATGTAGGGTTTGGCAGCAGAGACAGTACAAGATCTAACTCGGGGCTCCTCTAACATTAGAAACCCGTTTTTCTTCAAAAATGAGAAACATGTGTTTGGGATTGAAAACTCTCGACAGTGACACTGGAAACAGAAGTCAAGGAGGCACTGATCTGTCCTACTGGTGGGCCCAGAGCCTGGGATGAGCGGGACACAGACGTAGGCTCCCAGCACCAGGCAGAGGGACTGCAACACCAGTTTCCAGCACATGCACGTCCCTATATTTATGTAACGAAGCCGCCCTTTGCTACACAGCCTGTGCATGTCCCCTTATAGAAACGTGAAATGCAGATGGACCCGTCCCAGCACCAACCCTGCCCCTCCCTGCCCTACTTTCCTGCCTACGAGCCCTGCTCGTGGCATAACGGGAAAACTACCCCACAGGAAGGGCCACGGATGTCCACCAACCCCCACAAGGGGCAGGAGCTCCATCCTTAAAACAGCCAGACCAGAAGCCGTAGCAGAACCCAGACCCAAACCAGAGAGGAGAGATGGAGAGATGGAGAGAAACGAGACAGAGAGACAGAGAGGAAGTGCCCTGTGCCCCTCCATCACAGTGAAGGCAGCTCTGCTCAGACTGCGTCCCGGCGGAGAGCTCGGCTAGCATCCTCTGACACGGGGCGGGCACGTTCTGCAGTGAGAAGGTGGGGGCCAAAGGCGGCAGCGCTGCGCCCGCCCTGGCAGCAGGAGCACCGGGGCAAATGGGCAGACGGGCAGGAGAAAGGCCCTGTGGCAGGAGCAGGCGGAGACGAGGTTCTCAGCCACAGAACCAGCACCGCGTCCATGTGTCTCACAGAGCCTGACGCTTCACACTTGGGGACTCGGTGGCATCTTCACGGGAAAGAGGACAAATGTGAAACAAAGGTGATGTTTGGTTCTGGCTGAAAGACTATTCAAGCCAGGGCAGCTGAAGAGGAAAATGCTGTCACAGCAGGACCGCACCTTCCTTCTCAGACCTTCGGGCCATGGGTGCTGCCCGGCCCAGCGTGCCCTCAGCATCTGGTGAACACCGGCATCAATGAAGGGAGGTTTACCAACCAGGTGGACAAAGGTGTTCGTGAACACTTGGCGTTAGGTGTAGACTGCTGCTCGGCATGTGGCGGTCACTTAAAAACTTTATGGAATTAGTGGGCAGAAGGTGAGCTCTTTGCACAAGTGAATTCAGAGTGACAGCCACCATCATGGGCCCCACCATTTGGCCCGTGCCTCTCTCCAAGCCACTGCCCCCAGTAGGACCCCTCTGGGCAGCAGGAAATCCCCAGGAGCCCCAGAGGTCAAGCTGCTCAGGGAGTTCCTGAGGTTAACCCACAGGGTCAAGTACTGCTGTGCAACGTGCTTTAGAGGGGCCACTGGCGTCCCTTGGATGGCACAAAGGTCACATAAACCCTTATGTAATCACAATCAAAACGTGCATATTTATTTCAGAGTAATGACTTTTTGATGCAAACTTTACTGAAGTTTAGCATACACAGAGGAAGAGCCCAAACCATCTGTGAGTGCACTGCTTGACACCCCCCCACCCCCGACCCAGACTGAACCACGGGGGACCCAGCCCCCAGCTCAGACAGAGACCGGCATAGCGAGCCCCGGGAAGCCCCTGTGGTCTAATTGCTTTTGAATCTTAAGTAGATTATTGACAGGGGAATATATTGTTTTCCCAAAGGGAAAATAAAATATTTTCCTCCCTTGGAAATGAAGCCAATACTCCTTTACCCGTGGAATTTTCCTTAGATGGGAAATTACGCCCCAATAACCTTGTGAGCGTCTGTTGCTGCCCTGTGACCCCTGCCCTGGGATGAGCCGATTCTGAGCCAGAATGTATGTCAGGAAACCATGGAGAAACGGAATGACCGACCATTTACACGTCCCATGTGAGCTAGTAAAGCTTTAAAGAGAAACGGTGTCTGTCAGCACCTTCAAGGTTCTGGGGACACACAGCAGTGCAGGTTCAGCTGGGCAGGGACACAGATGTTCTCATTTGTAGAAATGTGCCCTTGAAGGAGAGCCCGGGGCTAGGACCCAGCCCTCCGGCCAGCAGCAGCTCTGGGTGCGCGCTTGCGACAGGGAAGCAGGGCGTCTTCACTCACATCCCTCCCTTTGTGCCTCACAGCAAGCTGGGCGCCGGGTTCTTCTCCTTATTTTGCAGACGACAAACAAGAGCTCAGAGAGGGTGAACAACCTGCCCAAGGCTGCACAGTAGCTCAGCAAGGAACCAACACACCAACGGCTTCTGCCCAACTTCAGAGGTGGCCCTGACACCCGGCCACGAGCCTCTGCCAGCCCCCGGCAGCACAGCTGAGGGGTCCGGGCACGAGCTCCTCCCACCTCTCTCCTCTCATTGAATTGGGTGTGCATTTCGTCTGCTGCTGCATGAAATGTTTAACAGAGGACGGGGAGAAATGACACGCCTTCCCTTCCCCCAACATGAAATCCGCTCAGCCTCCGAAGGCCAAGGCCGCCCCCGGGGTGCAGGTGGGGCATCTCCCAGTGTGGTGTGTCAAGGTGCTCTGAAAGCTGAGGCCCAAATGCCCAGGTGCATCCAAAGAACTCAACTCACATGATTGTCCCTCATCCTTCAGTTTCCTTTTCTTCCCATGAAGCGTTTCCAAGTCAAAAAAAAAAAATCTTGCCACAGTGTGGCCAGGTCCTCTCATGAAAGCGTGACTGAAGCCCCACACACCTGTGAAGGAGCCCTCGGTGGGC